AGCCCAGAAATAAACCCACACATCTACAGACAGCTAACTTTCAATGAGGGAGCCAAGAACACACAATGGAGAAAGGAAAGTCTCTTCAATAAATGGTGCTGGGAAAACAGGACAGCCACAGGCAAAAGAATGAAAGTAGACCATTGTCTTACACCATACACCAAAATTAACTCAAAATGGGTTAAGGACTTGAATGTAAATCCTGAAACCATAAAACTTCTAGAAGAAAACAGAGGCAGTACGCTCTTCAACATCAGTCTTAGCAGCATATTTTCAAGTACCATGTCTGACTGGGCAAGGGAAACAACAGAAAAAATAAACAAATGGAGCTACATCAAACTTTTTTAAAAAGCCTCTGCACAGCAAAGGAAACCATCAACAAAACAAAAAGACAATCTAACAACTGGAGACGATATCTGCAAACCATACATCTGATAAGGGGTTAATATCCAAAATACATAAAGAAATGATACATCTCAACAACAAAAAACGTAACAACCCAATTAAAAAATGGGCAAAAGATCTGAACATTTTTACAAAGAAGATATACAGATAGACAACAGGCACAAGAAAAGACATTCAACATTGGTAATTATTAGGGAAATGCAAATCAAAATTACAATGAGATATCACCTCACACCACCAGAATGGCTATAATTAACAAGACAAGGGGGGCCGGCTCTGTGGCTTAGCAGTTAAGTGCGCGCGCTCTGATGCTGGCGACCCGGGTTCGGATCCCGGGAGCGCCCCGAGGCACCACTTCTCCGTCCAACGCGAGGCCGAGTCCCACGTACAGCAACTAGAAGGATGTGAACCTATGACATACAACTATCTACTGGGGCTTTGGGGGGAAAAAACTGAATAAATAAAATCTTTAAAAAAAAAAAAAAAAAGACAAGGGGCCAGCCTGGTGGCACAAGCAGTTAAGTGCCACGCTCCGCTGCAGCGGCCCAGGGTTCCCCAGTTCGGATCCCGGGCGCGCACCGACGCACCGCTTGTCAAGCCATGCTGTGGCGGCATCCCATATAAAGTGGAGGAAGCTGGGCACAGATGTTAGCTCAGGGCAGGTCTTCCTCAGAAAAAACAAAACAAAGCAAAACAAGACAAGAAATAAGTGTTGGAGAGGACGTGGAGAAAGGGAACTCGCATACACTGCTGGTGGGAGTGCAAACTGGTGCAGCCACTATGGAAAACACTATGAAGATTCCTCAAAAAATTAAAAACAGAACTATCATACAACCCAACTATTCCACTGCTGGCCATTAATCCAAAGAACATGACTACACGAATGCATAAAAATATATGTACCCCTATGTCCACTGCAGCGTTATTCACAATGGCCAAGACTTGGAAGCAACCCAGGTGCCCATCGAGGGACGAATGGATAAAGAAGATGTGATATATACACAATGGACTACTACTCAGCCATAAAAAAAAGATGAAATCTGCCATTTGTGACAACATGGATGGACCTTGAGGGTATTATGCTAAGCGAAATAAGTCAGAGGAAGAAAGTCAAATACAGTATGATCTCACTCATAAGTAGAAGATAAAAAACAACAAACAAACACATAGAGACAGAGACTGGATTGGTGGTTACCATAGGGGAAGGGGGGAGGGAGGAGGGCAAAAGGGGTGATTAGGCACATGCATGTGGTGACGGATTGTAATTAGTCTTTGGGTGGTGAACATGATGTAGTCTACACAGAAATCCAACTATAATGATGTACACCTGAAATTTATATAATGTTATAAACCAATGTTACCGCAATAAAAAAAAATAGCCAAAGTAATCTTGCATAAGAACAAAGGTGGAGGACTTAAATTATCAGATGTCAAGACAGACTAAACCTACAGTAATTGAGACTGTGGTATTTGTGCAAAGACGACAAAAAGATCAACGGGGCAGAGGGGAGTCTAGATACAGACCCATGTATTTATGGTCACTTGATTTATGACAGAGATGACACTGTAGTGCACTGGGGACAGGTTGGTCTTTTCAATAAATTATCCTGGTTCAACTGGATAGCCATAGATTTAAGGGACAAAAAAGGAACCTTGGCTCTTATCTCACACCATAAACAAAAATCAGTTTCAGATGGATTACAGATCTAAATGTGAAAGAGAAAACAATAAAACTTTTACATGATAATACCTTCATGATAATATCTTTCAATGAACACAAAGCATTAAATACTACTGAAAAGACTGATCAACTGGGCTTCGTAAACCTTAAAACTTCTGCTTATCAAAAGACACCGAGGGAGTGAAAAGGCAAACATACACAAGAATGTAAAAAAAATCTGCCATACGTACATGTACTCAGAATATATAATATGTACTCAGAATATATAAGAAGAACTCCTTCAACTCAGTAAGAAACAAAAGAGAAAACCCAATCGAAAAACGGGCAAAAGACAATCATCTCACAAAGAAGATCTCTAAACGGCCAATAAACACGCGGAGGGAAGCTCCGCCTCTGCACGTTCCTGGTCATCAGGGAGCAGCAAGTCCACACCACACCAAGCTGCCTTCCACTCAGTGGCCACCAGACAGCCAAATGAAAGGACTGACGAGACCAAGCGCTGGAGGACAACGGAGGGCTCCCTCACTGTTGGTGCTAGTACAAACTGTCACCACCGCCACTGTGGGCAGCGTCCACTCAGGCTGAACAAATGCACACTCTGTCACTCTGCAATGCCACTCCTGCGAACACCCCCAAGAGAAATGTACTAACTGCACCAAAAAAAGAAGCAAGAATACTCAGGGCAGCACTTGTAAAAACTAGAAACAACCCGGATACCCATGAGCAGTAGAAAGAATAAATGATGGTATATTCATAGCCAGGATGATGAGATGAGAATGAAGAAAGCTACATGAGACAAAACGAATGGCTCCCACAAAGATACTGCTGAATGAAAGAACCAAGAAACAAAACATACACATCACTTTATTTCATTTATATGGCCAAGAACAGGGGAAAGTAATCTATAGGGAAAAGTCAAGACCACGGTTAGCTTTGGGGGACAATTCTTGGGAGTAGGGAGGAGGGGGCTTCTGGGAAGCTTGGTAACATTTCATGTCATAATCTAGGCGGTGGTTACGAGTGTGTTCACTTAGCGACTCAATGAAATGTACACTCATGACTGAAATCTTCTGATGTGTTATAGCTAAGTTTTGTATAAGCACAGTATGACTGGTCTACATAATGGGCCAGGAGAACAAATGCAGTCAGTTCACCATATGCCTATCTGGTCACAATATCAGCCACCAAACCTGAGACAAATGCCAGGAAAGGGAAGGGTCCCACAAAGCGCTTACTTACTGGTTCCTGTGTTGCTGAAACGCTGGATGTGGTGCTCAGGTGAACTGCTGACATCACCACGTTCTCCACTCAACGAGGCATCTCCAGCTACAACCCTGAGCAGTCGCTAGAAACAAATCACTGAGCGACTGTCTCCTCCCGCTGGTGGGACAGCCTCCACTGCTTGAGACGGCACCGCACCAAACTGGCCCTTCCCTGTTCCGTCCCTTGAGCTCACTCCCTCAAAACACTACCTTATCAAATATGGGAGAATTGATATACACTTCAGTGTATGAACCTCAAATTACAGTAAAACAAACACAGTTACAAAAACAAACAAGACTACTGAGAAGATTTACGAATACATTAAAATCCTGGTAAAACATAATTTGGCCAATCCTTTTAAGCTTGTGGTAATAAAATCTGACCTAAACAAACTTGGTAATTTATAAGATTTGAACGAGAAAAAACGTAATGATTCTCTATCTCAACAAAAAAGGAACATTATAGCACTAATATCAAATTATTGTTGCCAAAAAGGAAATCCAAATGTTTGGCTTATCAATCTTTCAGGAGAACTGACTAAAGCCAAGAAACGCATTAAGGCTGGTAATTATTCATTTCCTAATTCACCACCGCAGACCCATCAGGAGAGTACAAGCAGACGCTCATTCAGGCCACCCGAAAGCACCATAAAGGCCCCCAGACAGCTCAGAGGCACCCCAAAACCCACGTATCTCCCACATGCCCTGTGCCGGTACCTTCCACTTCTCTAGGTGACACTTTCTCCCTTCACCCACCATTAAACCCTCACTCAGCTCCAGAAGAAAACGCTTTGACACACTGGTCCAAAGGCAACATACCCAGACTAGCAACCTCAGTGTGACTCTAAGCTTCGTAACTCACACCTGCCACGGAGACAGTTCCAAAGGAGTCAATCTCCAGCCTTCCAGCCCCTGAAACAAATCTCATTTAGAAAACACAGGTGTTCTAATAAAGGCAGACTGCAAAAATATTTTCTCTGTGAAATCAATCCTATTTGTCCATTAAATTTCATTACGTAATTGGAAATACATGATAAACCCGTGGGAAATACACATTTCACAAGAAGTGGCTTAGGACAACAGATCAGAAGGCACCACAGAGCTTGGTTGCCCCACGGCCCTATTTCAAAAACTTTGGAGCCCTCTCTTGAATCTAGGCAGTTCCTTCTGCTGCCCTGAAGGAAGGAACAAGAGTTATGAGGTATTTTCACATGACTTTAGAGCACCACAGAGTCTGTTCTCCCTAAGACGTTTTTTTTTTTTTTTTTAAGATTTTATTTATTTATTTTTTCCCCCCAAAGCCCCAGTAGATAGTTGTGTGTCGTAGCTGCACATCCTTCTAGTTGCTGTATGTGGGACGCGGCCTCAGCATGGCCGGAGAAGCAGCGCGTCGGTGTGAGCCCGGGATCCGAACCCGGGTCGCCAGCAGTGGAGCGCGCTCACTTAACCACTAAGCCACGGGGCCGGCCCTCCCTAAGACGTTTAATCCTCCGGAACTTTATCTATACGTGGCTTACAAATATCAGAACCACCATTTCACAAACGGTTACGCAAAATACTCATCTAAGATAGTAATACCATAGAAGAGGACACCATACAACAACATTTAGTGGAAAAACATCTGTCAAGTTCCAGGTGAAAAGCATCCATACCTGTGGAAGTGCAGTATTGAGCTGTCTCTGCAAGGAGTCTCTTTCATGGCCAACCTCGTGTAATTTCCCCTGGGTTAATGCCAGCGTCTCTTGAGTCTCTCTCAGTGTGTCAAGAAGACGGTCCCTCTCTTCTAGCATGGACACCATCAACTGTTCAAAATGTGAGTCTGCATCTGGCTGCGAAGGGGAGCTGGACCCATGGCTCCCACTTCCTCCTGGGGGGCCTTCTGCTTCACTGATGGTTGGCATCACCTCGCACATCATCTTGAAATAAAAGACCCAGACTACAGTCATTAAGTGCAAAGTAAAGTCTCCCACAAATCTGCAATTTTATAGCTATCTGCAGCTAATCCATGAAAGGCTGTCAGCCTCACTCTTTTCAGATCTGACTGTTAAGCTCTGTATATAAGTGCGCTGGGAACAGACACGTATGCAAACCCTGAGTCGGAACACTTGAGATCAAGACACCAACACAGACAACAATCCAGTCATGGGGTCAAGACCAAAGACGACTATCCCTCAGTTAAAGAACAAACCCTGTGGCATTTTGTTTGCACGGGTGTACTTTCTAGTTGTTGAAAAGAAGTGTGCTTCTGTAACCTATTCTTGTTTTTCTATTTCCTGGTGGCGGAGAGGAAGTCAAAACAGACGCTACCCAATCGTTTTTCAGGAAAAGCACAGAAAGAGCACACAGCCAGTCAAACTGACAAGTACAGAATCTGTCGGGCATCTTACAGGAATGTGTGCAGTCAGCTCCTGGGAAGGACTGACGGCTCCCGGAATTCTTGGGCTGGATTTGGTGAGCGCTAAAAGGAACTGGATTCGTCAAGGGCTGGGAGAGGTGTTGCTCAACGGCTGCAAGGGTTGGCCAGTCAACCTGACTTACGTAAGGTAACAGCCCCCAGGAAAAAAAAAAAAAAATTCCACAATGGAAATACCGCAGGTCAATAACAGCCGTGGACGGCTGGGAAGGTAGGAAAAGTGAAAGGTGAGATTACGAGAGGCTATTAAGTGTCTCAAACATAACGACGGAGCGAGGGGAAGCGGGGCCGGTCCAGAGGCTGCCGGCGGGGCTCGGGGCTCGGCGACCCCCGAGAGAGGATGCCCCAGACCGCACACCGGACAGTGACAACGACCTCGACCCCACTCGCATCCGAAGCAGGTGCTGCAGAGCCACGGACACCGGGGCTTCTTGCGGCCACAGGTCCTCGCCCCCTGCGCCCAGGGCTGGGTCACCGAGAGCTGGGGTCACCTAGCGCTGGGGTCAGGGGAGAGGGCGGCGCGCGGCCCCGAG